TCCACATCTGGCACTCCTCCCTTCTTCAATCTGCCCATCTTGGTGGCCAGCAGAGACAGAAACTCCTGAACGTCCTTGTAGTCTGGGACATTGTAGTGGAGCATCAACTGAGAGATAAAACATCCAAGAAATTGGTCCATTTATCATAAAAGATCAGCCAGGTGCATTTCAATTATCTTAATCTGATTGCTGGATATGCAAACTTGTATATCACATAAAACTAATTCGACATCTGCATATCAGAATATGTATCTTAAAAGCAATTTGTCCATTCATGGTATTGGTTCTGAATACCTTTCAAGCCAAATTAATTTTTATTTCACGTTTGAAGTAATTTCTAATTTTTTTGTTCACCTTCTTGAATCAGCTAATTTAAAATAACTTTCAGCCACTGCCAGTATACGTGTGTAGGGGGTAAAGTAACAAATAGGCGAAGTAACAAATAGGGCACAGGCCTGAGGGGACTACCAAGAATAGTGCCCAGTGAAAGGAAAGGGGACCCCTACGTGAAGAAGAGCAGCAGGTTCCATTTTCTCTCACTGGACATTATTTCTCTACTCACCTGCTGCTTGCTACATCTCCGCATGATGGCCTCTACTGGAGAAATGGGGTCAGGGAGAGTCTCAATCTGAAACATTTACATAACTCTTGTAAACTAGAAGATCAGAGATGTGATACCACCTCCTGGGCATGTACCACCAGCTGGATTAGGCACACAAAAGAAATAACTCACTTATAATATATGAAAGTGAGGGAAGAATTCCATCAGCTGTGTAATGTTAAAAGAGTAAAGTGACTCCAGGTTATTCCTACCTTCACACAATTCCTTAGAATTACTGAAGCGTCCGAGGATCCCGTTGCCATGACAATACCTGGACTGTCCAGCAGTTTGATGTGTTTATCAAGATGGACTTCTTGCATGGTCCTGCAGGAGAGAAGAATTTTCTGTTATGAAGTCACTAAGCCAATTACCAAATTTACTTAAATTCAAAATTCGAGTTTTTTTCTTTACCTATAATGCAAACTTATGAGAGCATTAAATTGTCTTCCTTGATTTCTCATAAATTTAAAGCAATGTTTTCTTCAATTCAAATGTTTGTGTATCTTCAATCTCATCAAATGGCAAGGAAATTATTTTTTCAACGGAGTAATGAGTATTGGGTTGCATTTGTTAAGAGCTAGAGACATATGCGTATTGCCAAGAGTCACATTTTTTATCTGTTTGAAAAAAATTACTGGTGACTAATTAAGGCATATTCCTTATTCTCTTAAGTAGTGAGTGAATAAGTACAATGTCCTGAAGTAGACATAAATAAAATAGAAATGGTTCGTCCATGATTTCTACTCACTTGGTGAAACCAGGAGTGGCGCCCACACCACATGCTTTACACCTCTTCAGACTGTTGATGATACTGCTCTTGCCTGTGTTAGGAAACCCTGTAGGAGACAATTGTGACAACATGTCACACCTAACACATTGTTTATCAAGTAAATGCATTTCTGTGAGTAACATTTATCTCATTTGGGATAAAATGAGCTTCAATCACACAAAAATTAATTCATGTTCTGTAAATTAGGGACAAAGATCTGATCTGGCCTGGTTCAATTTCAACTTGATTTCATTGTCTAGTAATTTCTTCCAAACACGTCAAGTTTTCCTTCCCTTACCCACAATCCCCACAGTAATAGCTGTCCTGATGTCTTGGTTTCTACAATAGTTGCCTAGCAACTTCAGGAGAGCGTCTGCTCCTACACAGCGACTTGACTTCAGCAGATCTTCTGTCGTCTTTTGAAGTGAGCCTCGACTCTGCCCCTGTATAATTGTGGTCAAAATAAATTGATTAAAGAATCTTATTATTAAATATCTGATGTGATTTAGAAATTTAGTTTGAACAATAATATGGATTATTTTCTAGTCTCTAATATGTTACAATCAAGTTAAATTTTTTTTCCATCAAGGGCTTCTAAAGGCAATCTGGACTTAATACACTGTTTCAAGTGACTTACTTTTGCTAAATTTCCAATTTGCACATTGTTACAATTTTAAGCAAAAATGTGTGCAGAATTAGTAATTTTTAAAAGTATTTTCAGTAACAAATGTTAAATCATTTTAAGCAAAACATATGTGATCCATTCTAGTATGAAAATAATACTACACCAGAGTTAATAGAGATTAACAAGAACCTGATATGAACTAGACTAGATAAGATCTAGATGAACCAGTCAACAAAATACTAAGAAAAGCCAGTATCTAATTATCACGAAATCAAACTATATTTCAATGCAACTGTCTATAATTCCAATAAAACCATTTCTTGGTACACTAGTTACCCACCAAGTTTTCTTTCTGTGTCTGAGTTGATGCTTTGAAGGCAACTGTGGGTAATTCATTTCTCAAATGGGTCAGCCACTTTTCAACATTCTCTTTTGGAACAAGATCTGGTAAAAGTTGTAATAAAGTGTTTACAATAATATACACCAAGTGCCTCATCATACAATATAGCAAACTGGTATCAGAACAAAGAAAACAGTAAGCGTCTCTTGCTTATGTAACTCTATTAAAAACAATGAATCTTTCCTCAACAATTTACCTGACATGGGGTTTAAGCTTCCCTTCCCTTCAGCAGTTTTAAGAGCTGTAGACAAGTTTCTCTAACTCATGCTATCTAAATAAGTCTTAAAACATAACCAGTACTAAATCATGACAATATATTGCTTGATAAGGACATCAAGCCACCCCTCCCCCCATTTGCTTCTCTCGAGCAATTTTAAGAGTTGCTTAGCCAAGATTTTGTCCCTCCAATTCACTTTTATCAAATATAAATTAAATCAAATTTACCAATTTTGTTGAGGACTAGCACAAGTTTCTTGTTTGCCCCTGCGCTGATCACTGCTTGCTCCACCTGGGGGCAGCGACTTCCCACAGGGTCCCTGGCATCCAGCACCTCCAGAATGACATCTGCTGCCTCAATCACCTGCAGACACAGTGATAAATGGGTCTAATGACACCTTTATTATGAAACACCTTCAGACACAGAGCTATCTAACTACATCTATATTATAAAACATATGGCGACACAGGGATTAATAGTTCTAATTGCATTTTTATTTTTGATGAAGACTTGTAGAGACAAGAGCCATGTACTATGTTGGATCCACCATCTTAATAACTAAGAACATTGCTCTCATTATTTAGATTCTGTTTTATCATCTTACCTAGAGACCACAAAATCCTTTTTCAATACACTTTATTACTTTGTTGAAGTTTATCCTTTTTCAATACACTTTATTACTTTGTTGAAGTTTAAATACTGGAAGAAAACTAGCATGAGGAATTTTTCTTCAAAAACTAACAATGATACATTCTTACTACAAGAAAAAATATCAAGCCTGCTATTATAGTTTTTTTTTCTGATATAAAGCACAGTTTATTAACTTAATACAAAATGTGACAAAAAGCCAATGACAATATAAGTCTGTACATACCAGTCTTTGACTAATATACCATCACTGTTCTTACCTTTTTAAACTCTTTGTAGTAAGCTTTGAGAGATGACTCCACGGGTTTTCCGCCAGTCAGAGCGGCGGACAACTCCTCCCCCGACAGAGCATTCTGGGAAATAAGTAATTTTTAAAAGTGACACATCAAAGTGATATTTCAACTAAAGTGTACTTAGAATGTGAACAATATTGTTCCATACCATTTTCATTTCTTTTAACTTTCTAATCTACTAAGAAGTATATTAAATCCGGTAAGATTAAAACTTAATGCTTATTCAATTACTCATTTACTTGGTATGCACAGATTTAAAAGAGAAACCAAAGATTGCTACAAAATATATTAATAAAGAATAATGATTTAAGGATAATGACAGCCACAACGAACAACGATGCAGACAGTTTTAATAAATAGCATTATTTTCATGATACAAGATGCCTGTAAACAATGCTTTACCTTTCTCTCATATTCCTCTGTTCTTTTCTGTGCATCTTGAGCAAGACTGGCTAAATTTCTCTTTTTATCCAAGATCTTTTGTCTGTCTTTTTTCCTCTTGTCTTTCAGACGTTGCTGTTCTTCTTCTAACTGTAAAATAATTCATTACCTTGAATTTTCAATGTGCTTTCGATAATCCCAGCAAGTACCTGCGGCCTCAGGTTCAGTAAGTTAATGCTATTCTTATCCTGACATACTCATATTACAATTGGAGCCATCCAAGAGATCCCCATGTCCCATGAATTAGCACATAATCAAGAAAAAATTTCATAGGATTTGGAGGAGAGTGGGTCAAAAATAATGGCAAACTAATGTGTGCAAGGAACATAAATTCCAGTAACTTCCAAGATCCGTCAATCACTCTATGAAATATATGAACTTATACATTGTAATACCCTTCTCTTTCTGTCTTCAGCTTCTTTCAAAATTTCTTCTTTAAAAGGCAAACTGTTTGGGACAGCCACATCTTTTCTTTTAGCTGAAAAAGACATGCGTTTTGTGGACTAAAAAAACAACCAAACTTTTGCTTATTTTATCAATCTCTGGCATAAAAATATGATAAATCAAGATATAAAACTTATGACTGACATGTTGATTGCAACATATACTGTGTGTACTAAATGATTTATTATCTAATTATTATTATGGTTGTTATCTTCATGTTTACTGCCAACTGTTAATGACAAAAGCATGAACCCACATTTAGTGTTGGGATTGTTCTTTGCTTCTTTTTTCTTCTTTCTGTTGTGTTCTCTAACCTGGAAAATTTTTCTTTTAATAAACAAGTAAACAAACATACCATTACAAAAAATGAAGCCCGGTTTCAATGTTATTAATTCTGATCAGTATCAATATGGCTACATGTATGAAAAGAAATCGTAGTTTTACACACCAAACATTTAACACTGTACCTAAATTCAGTGCAATTTGGCATCAGTGATTTCAAAGAGTTTACTGTATTTCAAAAGATCAATGTTGCTACAAATATGAAAGTCTAGTTAGCATTCTAAATACACTACCAAATCTGACTGTCACCTCAAAAAGTTGTAATCAGTTTTACTTTACCTTTCTTTCTATTTTGTATTTTTTTCTACATGTTAGCCTCTTGCTCCTCTTTTCTGAAAATAACATCTCCACAATATGAGCATTTATCAATTTGACAGAATGGTTTAAATCAATTAACAAATTAATTTAAATTACAAAAATTAAAATAAAAAACAATTTCAATTCACATAAATATAAATATAATGACAAAACATCTAAATAATTTACATATCTTGCTTTACCTTTGGTTGAATAAACCATATCTTATTTTCAAATCATGCCTCATGCTAATTGGAAAAATTTATATATACTTACTGAAAAACTGTTTCACCATGCTGAAAGCTTGTGTTTGTCACTTTGTGAAACGCTTCAACATCAGCACAGAAAAAAATCAAGTAGCCTCTCGGCGTTCTTAACTCAGCGATTCTCTCACAACTTCCTTAATGATTTTCGTATTTTCTTTTTTTATGCAAAATCATCAAAACCGAGTACCGACGAGATTAAATCCCGGTATATTTCTCACGATGTATGTTTCTGTTGTTACAACGTGTATCTCTCGCTCACGTTTCTTTCGCCGGAAGTAGCGGAAGTTGGTATTTTAAGTCGTTCAGCAGAGAAGAAAATGAATCCGTTTCATTGGATGATTCCATGAAAAACAAACGTGCTGGAGGACAGGCAAAACTACTAACTGCAGAGTGTGAGTTTTAAATTTATTTCATAAATCCCGGTAAACTATTTTTTATTGATCATATATTTGAATAAGACATTTGTAACATTAAAATCAACTTATTTTTGTAATAATTTTTAAAATTAAGGCAAATGTTTTTTGTTTTTGCTCGGTAAGAACTAGATTCTCCTCGTGCCAACTTGCGTGTAATGGGAAAGTTGGCAAACAAACCTTAGTCACACTACTACTGCAGTAGTTATGTTACCACAGCATCCGTTGACTTAGCGGTAATGTTTCTTTCTCTTTCATGTTTCATTTATTTAAAAATTTAAAAATAACACAGCTGCTCACCTTTTATATTCTCGATATATAGTCTGATACTAGTGCTTTGATTTACCTTTTTAAATCTCATTTTTACTGTAAGTTAGTTGTATGGGAGCGTCCACATAAACTCGTCGTCGGTCTATCTCTGGGGAAGGGGGGTGATTCTCTCTAAATTGCATTCAGTGTAAATGGCTAAAATGTCATGCACGCCTACTCAAGCTACTAGGGGGTAATTAATGTAATTAAGTGTATTTCAGAAATATATGTAATTGATAATTAAATAATTTGTCAAATCTAGTTCTTTCTCAGTTTTTGTCACAAACATGACTTAGTTTTTAAATTGAATAATAAGTTAGTCCCTTTCTTTTGTTATTGGTGAAAAAGTTACATGCAACCACTTTATGAATAAAATGGAATTCCAGATAATAACGTGTCTGAGCAGCTAGGTACCTGAAACAAAATATATTGCTAATTAAACTACTATATATCATAATTAAATGTTATTTCTTGTTGGCAACGTAAGTTGAATATAATTTTTAAAAAGAAATAATCCTATTAGATTAGTGCCAGTATTATATTATCCAGAGGTACTGTACAAAAAAAGCGAAGTTATTTGTTGCTCTTTCAGCCTTAGGTATAAAATTTACAGGCAGCCAGGCATTTAATTTATTCAGATATGATGCAGACATGCCTGGGCATACAATAAAAAGTAAAGTGTGTTTTGGTCGTGACTTAGACTATGTAGTTGTAAACATTATCGCAGAGAATACTGTACAACCCGTCTGACTCATGGTTTAACTACATACAGTAAGAACTTGAAAATATTTTGTCAAAAGACCATTCTTTCTCGACATATATATTTTTTTTACTTTGAAAATTTGGTCATACTTGAAAATTAGCCTGTTGATAATTTTGAAAAGCTAAACACCTAATATTTAATTTCTAAGTGAAAAAAATTTTACCATAATACATATGTTGCTTAAAAACCTTGCTGCTTATACTGGAACCTGAGAATGACAGTTTTTTTTTATTTTATTTTAATTCAAATACCAATGAGTAAGAGTAAAGATATGGGGGAGGGGGGGGGGGGAGGAGGATGTAAGAGAGTAAATAGGCAGATAGTGTATCCATGCAGATAATATCATTATTTTGAAAAAAGGGTAACTGGGAGAACAACACTGATAAAGAGATAACCCCTGTCACATGAGGCATTGAAAACTATCACAAAAATAATATCTTTCACTGCCAGTTTTTTTCCCTGCTGCCAAGCGATGAGACAGCACATCCCGTTTATGAAAGAGTAGTATGTCCTAGATCAGGATCAGCCCCATTTCATTCTGACCCAGAGGGAGAAACATAGTCACAAGTCCATCCAGTGGCAGTCAGTCATTGAAAATATTAATTACTAAGGTCCATAACTTTTAAAGTTAAGTTGTTAATTTTAATTTGTTAAAACAAAGCCAAAAAACATAACCTGGCTCTCAGCAGAGGCAATAATATCATTGTTAATATTATGATATTGTTTAAAATCCAAATATATTATGTAGACTTATTGATGTAAAACACAAGTTAAAGAAAGTCATTATACTTGCATTTTGCCATAAAAAAGAGCCATTTAATGTTCAAAATGTATATAAAAAGTCACAGGTGGTATATAACTTATATCCTTTTGCAGAAAATTTCTTTACTTCCCCATTCACAACCTCATTAAGTCAACCTTCCTGTTTATATAAGGGTTCAGAAAATTAAACTAGATTACTGATTGTCGGATGTGTCCTGCCAAAATATGTACTTTGCCGTACTAGGTACATCTCTTGTGTTTACTCTATTGTTAACTGTCAAATCACATCTCTTGGTTCAAATCGATTTTTTCAAAGGGACTCCAAAATAATTATTTGAAGTGCTAAAGAAAAATTTTAGAGACATGATGACTAAGTAGTTAAAATGATTGATGGCATATTTTTTTCAGTGTGCAATCAGCCATATTTGTAAGGCTGTGTACACTGCAAGCCTGACGTTTAAATCTTTCACATCTCAAACCATTCTTTTTTACTACCCCAAAACAAGTTATTTCTTGATTCGTTTGTGTTATCTGAGTACTGGTTTTATTAAGGTACAAATTTTGCTGGACACACTCCAAATTGGCTGCTTTCCATTCTTGCTAATCACCAGACAACCTATTTTTTGGCAGACAGGAATTAGGAGGGGGATTGGGGTTATCTTATCGTGTCCTCAGATAGGGTGCCTCATGCTGATTAACAGCACTCATTGTTCCTAGAAAATGGGGAAGTAGGAATACTAGTAACTGACATCAGTGAGTAAGAGGCTGTTTTCCTGTTTTCTTAAATTACAATATTTTTGCTTGGTATTTTGTGACGATGTTTATAAATCATCATTTTCAGTGAAAATAGGACACAGGTATTATGAAGAAACAGTTAGCTCTATGATTATATAATAGAGATGATTTTAAAATTTGAAACTCATTTTAATTTTATAAGATATCTAGTAAAATGCCTTCATGGTGACCTTAATCTGCAGTCGGGATCATTAAATTATATTCACTGTGTGTTGATAACATCACAGGATAGATAGCTATTGTTGTTTTGGAACAATTAACTGATCCCGTCTGGAGATGAAGATAGAGTTCTAAAACATCAAAGTCAAAGTTTAAGATTTATATCACATCTATTGCGTATTGTTGGCTGGGGATAATTTAATACTGAACTGACCAATGAAAGGGAAGGGGACCACCCCTCACCTCAAGAGTGCCACTGGACTTTTAGAACAGTTGAGCTTCAGCCACGACTCTGTTAACATCATTTTTAGTTGCTCAGCTTAGCTTAATAAAGTTCTATAACTACACGAAATCTTGTTGGTTATACTGGTGAAGACAAGTGGAAGATCCCTATACAACCTCTCATGAGCCAGCCAAACAATAACAGGGTGAATACTAGGAGCGCAGCGGCAGCAGGAATGGCGAATGGAAGACAAGAAGAGCCTCTTCCCCAGCAACAAGCCCAAGTGCTTGTTACCTTTCCCACTTTTTTTACCCCAGATCCCTTTTATGGGGACGTTGAGGAGGAACCGCAACACTGGCTTGCAAGGTATGAGGCGTTTGTGGCCAATCAGCCAGATAAAACGCAGTATCTGCCTTTCTTATTAAAAAAAAGGGCAGAACTATGGTTTCAAGCTCTACCAGAAAGAGTAAGAAAAGACTTCACCTTATTTAAAGAAGAATTTCTAAATTCTTTTCAACAAACCCAGCAAATGAAGCTGCAGAAAACTGTTGAACTGTTTCACCAAAAACAGGGGGACGCAGAGACAGCAGTAGATTTCCTCACAAGGATGAGGAAACTGGGGAGAAGCACTACATTAGATGACAATAGTCTGATTTGTGCCTGTATAAATGGGCTCAGACCAGAAATCCGGCCTTTCATCATTCAGAAACAAGTTCAGACAATGGCTGAGCTGCACCAAGCAGCAGCCTTGGTAGAAATAAGTTTCAAACCTGCAGTAGCAAGTGCAGCTACTGCAGAAGGGAACTTGATCCAAAGCCTGATGAATCGGATCAACATTCTAGAAAACAAACAGAAGTCCGTGACTTTTGAACCAGCCCCACGAGGACGACCGATAATAAAACAAGGAGAAAGAAGACATTCCCAGTCGCCTAGAGGAAGGTCACCTGAACGGAGAGAAGAATGCGGGAGATGTGGTAGGTGGAAACATAGATTTATCAGTGATTGTCCAGCAATGGGTAAAGAGTGCCATAAGTGTAAAAAACTAAATCATTTCGCAAAAATGTGCAAGTCACAATCACATTAGGGGTACGGGCGTAATATGCAGATTTCCAATACAAAAAATCATTCCATAGATGCAATTTTAAAAGCAGATCCAGTGGATCATAATTTGGTTGTCATCAAAATTAACAAAATTCCTGTTTATGCTCTTGTAGATACTGGTGCATCAATGTCTTGTATTTCCAACAAACTTTTGTCAAAATTGGATAAAAATTCTTATAGTCATGTCAGACCTCAAACATCCCAGGTTTTAGGAGTAACTGGTCAACCACTGAATATCATAGGTGCAGTTGAAGTCAAATTTTCCATTGAAAATCAAAATTTTTCACAAATTCTTCATGTTTTTCATCATTTACCGAGAAATGTCATTCTAGGACTGGATTTTCTGAAAAAGTTTTCTGCAAATATTTCTCCAGGATCCAATACCATAACTTTCGAAAAATCAAATGACAAAATTCAAACTGAAAAGGCCAATTATTTGGGTTATGCACGCTCTTTATGCTCTGTTACTGTTGCTCCTAGATCAGAAGTACAAATTCCTTTACGTGTTGCTCGTACAAAGAACACTAGTGTCCACACAATATTACTGGAACCTGTAGAAAATAAACACTACATTGCTAGAAGTATTTGCAACATCTCAAAAGGTGTATGTAGAATTTACAACCCAACTAATGAATTTTATAAGATCAAAAAGAATGCAGTTTTGGCAAAAGTTTTTCCAGTGTCAGTTGATGATATATCATGCTCAAACCCAAATGCTCACATCAACTCTATACAAAACGAAATGAATCACATACCAACCGAAACAAAAGAGCACAAAGCTGAGGATTTTATTGAAAAAGCGAAAAGTCTTGGTATAAATTTAGAAAATTCAAATTTAAATGATGCACAAAAGAACATTTTGTTAGATTTCCTTGGCCAAAACAGAGATATTTTTGCCACAGATGTCAGTGAATTAGGTTTAGGAAAAGTTCCAGGGCCCGGTTGCACCAACCGGTCGTAAGTGAGGCGTAGCAGTTGCGCCGGCGTAAACCGGGCGCAAAATGCTACGCCCGAGAAAAGCCAGTTGCACCAAACTGGAGTAGTGTTTACGTCGGTCTTAACTTTGTCGTAAATTTACGCCTGCTAGTTAGGTGGAGTAAGTCGGTCGTAGCTCGTTTTGCACTATGGCTAGGCTGGCGCAGAGGGAGTTTGATGACAATTATTGTAGTTAACGTAGATTATGTGGGTTGTTACTTGTTTGTTTCTTACACAAAACTTCCGTCTCCATACATGTAGCTTGGTTTTTAAAAAACTAATTATATATATATATATATATATATATATATATATATATATATATATATATATATATATATATATATATATATATTTGATTATTAAATACATTATGTGTGTAGCCATGTACATGTATATGCATGTGTTCAAATTAAATTTTACCACTCATGTCGACACGCCTTGGCTCTCAGCAGTACGGTTTCTTTAATTCTTTTCACAATTTTTGACAAACCATAACTAACTATAGTCATTTTTTATTCACATTTTATATCATTCATATTTTACGGTATATAAACATAGATACAAAAGCTCAAAATATCAACATTTTAAGGCTCATATAATATGTATTAGGTCTCTTGTATTTCTCAATCTCCAAGATGTAAGATCCATTGAATTAAATGATACCTCACGGTGTAACCATAGATAAAAAAAGGTCATGAAATTGTCGGCACTGTTGTAAAATTATAAAAAGAAAGCAATGCTGACTTTTTTGCATTATTTTCAGACTCAGTAGTTTCGATTACAAATGTGAAGGTGTTCAAATCCATTAATAAAAATACGTACTGCCTCCAACGCTTTTTTCTCATTTACAACAGCATTCTATAACAGCATACATATCACACTATAACAATATTTTGATTCTGAATATATTTACGATTTTATTGGTATATATCCAAGGCAACAGCAAAGTTAACGTATTTCAACGTTCTTATTTCTAAATCAATATGGAATAATTTAGCTTATGAATTTCTTCGTCACTGAAATGCTCCTTTTGTGTTTATCTATGTCATCATTCTATTATGACTGCAGCTGAGAACTCCTCATTCACGTATTGTTTGCCAGTGATGCAACGGAGCGTTACTCGGGCGTAGTTACGACCATCAGTTTTTGTCTTGGTGCAACGGGCGTAAGCAGGGAGAGTAAACCTGTCGCACGGACGCCAGGCGTTGCGGTTTACGACAGTCGTAGCCGAGTAAATTTACGCCCTGTTGGTGCAACCGGGCCCAGGTCTAAAAATTGAAACAGGTGATGCCCAGCCTCAAAGACAAACGTTTTACCGACAAACTCCTGAAAAACGAGCCGAAACTATGAAACAAACCAAAGAAATGTTGGAAAACGACATTATTGAGCCCTCTACATCTGAATGGGCAGCCCCTGTTGTTCTAGTTAAAAAGAAAGATCAATCATACAGATTTGCAATCGATTACAGGCGCTTGAACAATGTTACAAAACCCTTACATTTCCCTTTACCACGCCTTGAAGATGTCTTTGAAACAGTAGGTGAAAAACAACCAACACTTTTTACATCTATTGATATGACAAGTGGTTTTTGGCAATTACCCCTTTCAGAGGAAGCCCGAGAGAAAACTTCATTTATCACACATCATGGACAATTTCAGTTTAAACGCGTCCCTTTTGGTCTCAGAAATTCTGGTACTTACTACCAATCAGCAATGGCTCATGTCCTCAGTGACCTCAACTGGAATATTGCTTTGGCATACATTGATGACATTTTGATATTCAGCAAAAATTTTGATGAACATTTACAAGCACTACAACAAATTTTTGAGAGATTCAAGCAATTCAACCTAAAACTAAAACCTCAAAAATGCAAATTTGCCTTACCAAAAGTCACATTTTTAGGACATACAATATCAAAGCAAGGCATAGAAGTTGACAATGATAAAATTAATGCAATAAAAGCAATTGCTCGTCCCCAGAACCCTAAACAAGTACGAAGCATGTTAGGATTGTGCAATTATTACCGAAGATTTGTTAAAAATTACGGCAAAATTGCTTCACCACTATACAAACTGACAAGAAAAGATGTTGACTTTGAATGGACCTCAGAATGTGAAACTGCCTTCAAACAACTAAAACAAGCCCTCTCTTCAACACCCATCCTGGCATTTCCTGACATGAATAAGCCTTTCAAAGTAACTACCGATAGTTCTGACTTTGCAATTGGGTATATGTTAAGCCAAGTAGGTGCAGATGGCAGAGAGCATGCAATAGCTTATGGAGGCAGATCCATCCGAAAACACGAAAAGTCATGGTGCATTACAGAAAAAGAATGTTTGGCTTTAGTTGAAGCAATTCGAGAATACCAACAATATCTTACAAACAACAAATTTGAAGTAATAACTGATCACAAGCCTCTGGTTTGGTTGCAAAGCAAAGTAACAACAAACAAAAGACTTGAAAGATGGGCCTTGGATATCCAAGCGTTTGAATTTGACATCATATACAAAAAGGGTGAAAATAATCCTGTAGATTGCTTATCTCGCCAAAATTATGAAAGCGATACATCTGAAACAAAGGCTCAGGTAAACCTCATTGAAACACGGGTGACCAGTGATCAAATTTTTCAAAGAAATTGGGCTGAAATTTCATTTTTGTACAATGGGGAAGAAAATGGCAAAAACCTCAAAGTAGCAATTGGTGCTAGTACTTTGCAAACCTGTCAACGTAAATGTCCAAAAATCAGAGAAATTATTGATGCTGTTGAATCCTCAGAGTACCCACTTACAAGTAAAGCTCACAATTTTGTAAGTAACTATTGTTTGAAAGCTGACTTATTGTACCACATCTACGAGTCACGAGCTAGTAGGAAAAACAATCAAAACAAAGTGACTTTACAGTTAGTAGTACCTCCCGAATACAGAAATGATGTCCTTCAAGCATACCATGACTCGGCTACTGGTGGGTCACATCAAGGTTTTGAACGCACCCTTGCAGCAATCAGGCTAAAATACACCTGGCCTGGCATGTATTCTGATATAACAAACTACATAAAGTCTTGTGAGATCTGTCAGGAAGCAAAACGCAATAGCCATGCCCATCCTGCTCCTTTACAACCCCTCCCTGTAGCTGACATTTTTGATCGGTGGCACATTGACATACTTGGACCATTACCAAAAACATCCGATGGTTTCAAATATATTTTACTCGTTGTAGAATCATTTTCAAAATGGCCAGAAGCTTTCCCACTTAGATCACAAGAAGCAACAGAAGTAGCGAAAGTTCTTTATGAACACATATTTTCTCGTTACGGAGCCCCAAGATCTTTAGTGTCTGATCGCGGTGCTAATTTCAGATCCAAACTTGTCCAAGCAATCTGTGACCTGTTCCAAGTAAAACAACATTTTACAAGCAGTTACCACCCACAATCAAATTCTTGTTGCGAAAGAATGAACAGCTACATTGGCCAATCTTTAAGAGCATACAGTGACAAAAGACAATCCAATTGGGCTACCATGTTACCTGCTGTAATGATGTCTTACAGAATGACACCTTCAGGTGGCTCAGAACACTCACCATTTTTCCTCCTTTTTGGACAAGAAATGAGAACGCCTTTTGATGTCACAATGGTTCCTAGAAATTCAGTTCCAAAAACAGTGAAAAGCTTTTTAGAAACAAAATTAGAAGATTTGGAAATTGGACGAAATCTTGCTCACAAAATCAAACTTGAAAACCAAAAAGTGAATGAGAAACAATATAATAAAAAGGCAAAAACACCAAAATTTGTTATTGGCAGCAAAGTCATGCTTCACAACCCTACAGTACCAAAAGGACTTAGCCCTAAACTGCAAAAGAAATTCACTGGCCCGTATTCTATTGTGAGACGAGTTGCACCCTACAGCTATATCCTCCGAAATGATAATGATAACAAAGTTCTCAAACATCCTGTTCATGCCAACCGACTCAAAAGTTACTTTAACCAAAGTATCAGAAGACAATACCCACAACATCGTGTGCAGAATGAACAAAATCAAACTGAGGATCCACAATTAGAGCAATATGACGCAAATCAAACCGGTGATCTCCATATAGAACAAAACGCCACAAATATTTCAGAGGAATCACAAAATCAAAAGCCTCAAATCGAAAAATTACTACAAGCTTCAAAAAATAAAACAAGAGGCAAAAGATATTACCTAGTGAAGTACAAAGACAAATCAAAAAGAGACTGGTTACATGAAGACCTAATACCAAATGTACTGATTAACATATTTCACCAACAATATACTCTAGACGGTAAAAAGAGAAAGAGACCTCCACTTGTTACGTATAAAAGAAATAATGATATCTAATTTATAAAACAATAAATTCTGAAGCATAACCTGCATGCTATTTAACTTGCATCTGATCTGAACTCTGGTTACTGAAAGATATTTAATTTATAAGTGACTAATTTGTGTATAAATCATAAAAAAATATGCGTTAGAGATAAAGACGTAAATCCATTATATGCCAAAGCTGTTAGGTTGAACCGATACTATCCTTTCAAATTTTTTTCTCTTTATAACCAAAACTTGATAGCTTAAAGCAAAGTTATGGTTTTCTCTCATTTTCTTCTTTTCCTCTTCACTATAGGTTCAACTGAAAGCAGTGGCATAGGTGGAGTTGCTGCATGGACAAAGTTGATGATGATCATGCTGATTTTAGGCTCCATGTCAGCTGCAGTAGAAGGTGTCAACAATCAGGTCATTAATCGTATCAATTATGGTACGACATTTCAGGAGATAGCCAAAATGCGGATCATGACCCACTACTGGTTACATACTTTTACATTTAAATTACCAAAAATGGATATAAAGCCAACCTTTACACGAAATTGCGAAGGTAGAATTTCAGATCAGATTTGCGGATTAATCGTAAAAGCATCAGGTGAAGCCGAAAGAATATTCCATGATTCAAAACACCAATTGGATGTTCTACATCGGGAAGTTTCCAAATTAATCCCAAGTATTGAAAACAGAAACAAAAGGTCCCTCTTGCCTGTCATTGGTGAAATAGCTGGTAATTTATTTGGCGTTGCAACGGAAAATGATGTAAATCGAGTCATCCAGCATATAAATAAGTTACAAAAACGGCAAAACATGGCACTTTCCAATTTTGAAGGAATTACTCAAAAATTGTCCTCTGTCATTACTATCCAAAATCAAAGATTTCACAATTTTGCAACACAATTAAAAGAAAACCATGACATTGATATGATACTGGGCGGTGACATTAAAACACTAGATAGCGAAATTACAATAGCAACTCAGTTACTGGTTCAACTACAAAAACAACAAACAATTTCAAGCAAGCTAAACCTACAAATACAAAATACAAATTTAGGAATTGAAAACCTGATTCATGGAACATTGTCATCCAAAATTATTCCCCCATCTGTTATAACCGCTACCATCAAAGAAATTGAAAAACACCTGAAACAGGAAAATTCATCTCTGCATCTGGCCACAACTGATTTAAATTATATTTATTCATATGCAAAGTACTCCGTTTCTAAACATGACTCAAATATCATCATCACTATGAAATTCCCTCTGACATCAGTACCTGAAACTTTTTCAGTTTATAAAGTTAATACATTTGCAATGCCTATCAATGATAGCACACATTTTACAACTGAGCTACAAAACGTTCCTGACTTGATAGCTGTGTCTTTACAATCTCAAAAACATATTCCGTTATCCTTACAAAATTTTCAACAATGCTCAGGAGATGCAAAGAAAATTTGTAAACTAGAGGAAATAACCTTACGACAAGAACCAACATGTTTAACTGCCTTAATATCAGATCAGAAATCAAAAATAAAAAATCTCTGCAACTTTAGATTCATGTCTGATTTTATACAACCAAATCTTGTGTCTTTACACAATGGACATATTTTGGCCATCAATGTTACTGCAATCAAAATCACCTGTCAAAATGATACATTTACAATTCCAGGTTGTCACTTTTGTACAATCCAAATCCCATGTGGATGCTCCTCTGAAATTCCGACTCACTTCATTCCCCCATTGCAATATTGCATTGAATTTGACTCTACCAAAACATTATATCCTATCAATATGGCTCTTCTTCAACATTTTTTTAGAGGAAATGAAGCTTTTGACAATATAAATTCATCTACTCTTTTTAGTGACGTTCCAAACGTACAATTACCAGACCTAAATATGTTCTCACACAATTTCTCAAAATTCATTGCACAAGATAAAAAGGAAAGTCTTAATGTCGAAAAAGTTGCCAATGCCATGAGAAACAAAACCAAAATTTATAGTAATCTACTTGAGCCTTATTTGGATGGTGAATTTTCCCTGTCTGATGAAGTCAGCACAAACTTTTTATCCTTTCATAATATATTGAGTGTAGGTGCAGTAGCATTATCAGGATTATGTTTAATAATTACCATTTGCCTTAGTTACAAATTAAGAATGTTACAAATGGCCATGTTTTCTGTAAACGCTGTACGAGCAGCACCGACCGCACCAACATTCATTTTCACTGATCAAACGGTTTCTACGTCAACAGTCAGCAACCCAACAACTGAGCATAAATTTTCGTTTTTAACCCAGTACTTACATTTGGCACCATATGGAGTAATATGCATTCTAATCGTGATGTATATCATAAAAAGGGTCAAAAATAGCAGAAACTCAACTTATCTTTATTTGGAACTTTCATCACAAGATTCATGTGTTACAATTCCTTTGACGAAATTGAAAGGTTGCCCTCATCAATGGAAAATTACTGCAACAAATCTAGTGAAGTCCATTCGATTCAGTGACCATTGTTTACCAACCTTATTTATTCACTGGGATGACATTCAAATTAGTCGCAAAAACACAAATCTTTTATGTCATTTGCCTACAAAGTATTCCATAAATCTATGGAAAAGCACAAAACTGAAACAAGTATTGAATAGACCATATGATGCACAATTTTTACTAATGCATAATAATTTAACCCATGCCCTTTCTGTTGATAGTTAAGATATATATATGGAATGAGAACAAGCATTTGAATCTGTGTATTACGCACCAAAATGTTGGACAGTCACTGAATATCATGTTTCCACTTAAAGCCCACATTGTTACCAATACAGTAGAGAACAGAAGAAAAGACTTCATAAGTAAAAAAAAAAAAAAAAAAAAAGACATTGGGTTGATGAGGACATTGCATTTTGCAATGAACTATTTGTTGAACATTTGTCAATTAATTAAATGAAGTATTTACTCATGTATCATGTAGTTTTAGACATTAAAAAATATATTAATCATGATTAGATGTAGTTTAATATGATCCTAAAGCTTGCACCAGGGCCAGCAATGACTGCATGGTAGCTAGGTTATATATATATGTGTGTGTGGGTGTAGTTAAATATGATAATTATATCTGTATACAGTAATATTAATACTAATATATAACATTTAAAAGATGGTTTTTGTAACATGATGTTTCCTTAGAGATGATTTTATATATATATTCATATATGTAATTGAAATTAAAGATATTTATATATGAGTAAAAGAAATCATAAACGTATATTTAGACCATTATGTTATAGTTAGACAGATAGATAGACAGATAGATAGATAAACAGTAATCAAATATATAATGTTGGGAATGTGATTGTATATAAATATATGTTTCCTTAGAGATTGTTTTATAAAAGTATATATATGAATATGTAGACAGCAATTTGGACAGTTATGTATGGTGTAGGATTAAATGAAGTTGTATAAACATTTAGGCAGATATATATAATTACAAAATTGGAGCACCAATTTTCAAGAGCAAGGGAGATCTATAATAGAGATGATTTTAAAATTTGAAACTCATTTTAATTTCATAAGATATCTAGTAAAATGCCTTCATGGTGACCTTAATCTGCAGTCGGGATCATTAAATTATATTCACTGTATGTTGATAACATCACAGGATAGATAGCTATTGTTGTTTTGGAACAATTAACTGATCCCGTCTGGAGATGAAGATAGAGTTCTAAAACATCAAAGTCAAAGTTTAAGATTTATATCACATCTATTGCGTATTGTTGGCTGGGGATAATTTAATACTGAACTGACCAATGAAAGGGAAGGGGACCACCCCTCACCTTAAGAGTGCCACTGGACTTTTAGGACAGTTGAGCTTCAGCCACGACTCTGTTAACATCATTTTTAGTTGCTCAGCTTAGCTTAATAAAGTTCTATAACTACACGAAATCTTGTTGGTTATATATTGGTAAATTGGTGCAAAACTGATAGGTTTACATATATTTCAATCACCTTGTAGTAGTCATTAGAAGACGGCTATAATTTGGAACAAAGATGACGTTCTCTTGTTTTAGCCAGTGTAAATGAAGAAAGATTTGAAAGGGGGAGGTATGTCGTTGTACATTTGACTGCTGTTGCTGAGTGTGAAAATACGTCCACAGTAAGGAAATGTGTTCATAGACTTGAAAGCAATTTTGGGAATGGAAACAATACTTAATGAACAACAGCCATAGCCTTGAAACTATTTTTGCAATGAACATTTTTTATGAGGATTTGAATTTAATTGTGCAAATTATAAAAAGCACTAGAGCCCCCTTTATCAAATTCTTACAACTAATAGGTTATTTCCTTCTGATATTCATAGTAATATATACAAATATTTGATATTGAAATAAAATAGTTTTGCTATCAATTCAGTTCTGGGCCTTATATTATAAAATTACTTGGACTATTTTTATCCTCGGTAGACAAACTAGCCAGCATCATGTATTGAAATATCTGTTGTTAAAGTTGTCAGAGTTGTTATAAGTCATCTTCCTACATTAAGGCACCTTATATCATAGTCACGACTTCCTGTGTTCCGTGCCATCCATGTGAACAGAATGATGTGCGTGACTTTTTCTGTTGGCATTACCAGCCAAAAATAGCTGCATATTACATTTTACTGTGACGGGTAGAATATGACCAGTGCTTGATTATGTTGAAAAGATGACAGTGCAAGATGTTTTACACAAGTCTGATGCCATGTAGTTCAGGTGAACTAGTTATAGTATATTACAAAAATCAAATTTAATGAGTTTAAATTGGACTTATTATGTAGTATTAAATAACACAAAGCATATTAAATGAGCTTTAGGTGAACATGTATGTATATTTGTTAAGGGGCACATTGAATGCATATCTTGAACATTTTACAGGAAGTCATTTATGTCAGGATTATTTATAGCGGTTTATTTATAGTGTTATAAGTAAAAAATGTTATTGGTATTTTTAGCATAAACAAGTGTTATGCCCAGTCAAAATTTATAAAAGATATTAAAAGATAATGATTTTTAATTTTTCACTTATAATCTCAGTGACTAGTGAGTAGAGAGCATCAGATAGGCAAGGTAAATTGAGATTAGGGTCCATGGATTGGTTTTGTTTACAAAGATGCCCTTAAAACATTTTAAATAAAATGACTGACTGGTCATGTTGTTGAAAAAAACATTTTAATAGCTATATCAAATGAAATAAAAGTACACATCTAAGTATGGGCAATATTACATTGTGATTTTCTCAATAGTTTCCACCAGCACAAATGCAGCGTGAAGAGTTTTTTTTTTTTTTTTTTGGATTATTTTAGCTTTGAAAGAAGCCCTTTTATCATATACTGTAAATACTGCCTGTGGAAGCACAAGAAAACCAGTTCACCTGAATACATTTTTATAGCTTTTTTTTTCTCTATGACAACCTCAGAATTAATGACTTTCAGCATGTATGACGCCATTCCCATTTACATCATTGGTCTATGTAGATCGTTCCAACTCTGTGAGGACTCTCTCTGAATGCATGGAATGACACGCCGCCTCTCGTACTTGTATAATCACCAGCTTTTCTACATCCTACTCATAACCAGGAGGAGACAAGTCATTTAGTTACTAGTAAGCTGATTGCACTCAGCGAGAGTCCCAAACATGTTAAACAGCTTCAGTTGTGTTTGACCTCCCAGCACCGCACTACATAATACACCTCGTCTTGCATATATGTATCTAGTCAAATGTTTGTCCTATTTTTTGGTAGAATATTATATTGATGTAACAATTTGGTGCAACGTGTTATCACAAGTCTCTGTACATTCATAGGGTCTTTATTTAGTAACTTAGATCGGATGATGTGATTATCCGGCTTTCCTCAGATAATCATAATTTAATTTGTTGTTTTTTGAACTTTACACACTCATGCAGGTTCCTGCTTATATTTACTTAGTTTTTCATATTGATACCTATTTTTATTTTGTATTATTATTTATTTCATATATGAAATTAACTTAAGATGATTATGTGAAGTAACATAGTGAGAATTGTTGAAATTCATAGGGTGATAGGATGATCCAGTTTTTCTCAGATTATCACATTTTTGGACATCTTATACCCCATTCACACTACAGTTGCCAAAATGCGCATTTCTATAATTTGGATTTTTCGTAAGGAATCCGATTCGGTATTGCGTTCACACTCGCTAAGCGAATCCGAATCCCATGTTGAAAATTTCAGGTTTAACTTCCTGTTTTGAACACTCGCGCATGCGCCGCACAGGAAATCTTAAAATACCAACAAAAATTTGTGACGACAAATGCAACTCAGAAGACATTCCAGCATTCTTGAGAAGTATAAGGTGGCAAAATAAGTTTGTTTCCTCATGTTGTAGTGAGTGGTGACCTCCAAATACGTTTGGTGCAATCGCTAAAGTAATAAACAAGCGTTCATAGATATCCGCACTTATCAGCACACATGCGCAGTAAGATCTGTACAGGTGTCGATTCCGGTAAGTTATCCGGATCGCGCTTACAAATCCACCTCGCTTGCAGGATTTTGAAAATGCGCATTACAAAAATCCTCTTGCGTTCACACTACTGCATTTATTCGAATTGTGACCTAATTCGCAATTTATCCGGATAACTGAGCGTAGTGTGAACGGGGTATTAAATAGACGCATTCAGAACAATTTTGATCTGCCACCCACTCGAAAGCCTGCTGAGATTTAATTGCTCTGCCCCTGCTGGGATGGTGCGCATTGGGGTACGGGAATCCATTGTCAAGTGGGTGCCATATTTCAGGCCTACCCAACTACCAGACTCAGCACCTAAGGATCCTGAATTAACCGGTATATCGGACCACGCTACCCGTTTTCAAGGTGTGTGTCAGATCGCATTTCGGAGTATCATACTCCAGAACAAATTTTGTAGCACGACTGCGGGCTCATCCACGCTCGGCTGAACAACCTTAAACTGTACTCTTACTTTAGAGTACTCTATTCTATTGTGTCTATGGGGATATACGGGGGCTTTACGACATTTGGTTTGAATGTTTTAACCACTTTTGATAGGGATTTTTGCATTGTATTAGATTAATGTGGCAGTCTAAGGTTCATCTATATGGCTTTCAAATTTATGCACCCGGTTTTAAAATCATATAGCGATTTTACGACACTCGTTTACTATCCAATCAAGGTGACAGCCGAGCATGCATATGCCAGGGCTCATCCTGTCGGTGTTCTGGCTGATACTCCGAAATGCAATCTGACACACACCTTGAAAATGGGTAGTGTGGTCCGATATACCGGTTAATTCAGGATCCTTAGGTGCCGAGTCTGGTAGTAGGGTAGCCCTTATATTTGATGCGTGGACATGTTAGTCCACGGATCAACTTTGTTGTGAATGCTTTCAATGTTCTCCATCTTCAGGAGAAGTAACCTACAGCTTGTAAAAATTTTTGAACTATAATGAGTCATAGAAGGTAGAGATGGTTTAAAGAGATAACAGAGATAGATAATTCAATTTAATTATACCCTGGAAAAAAGAGAGATTTAATCTGAAAGAGGTTCAGTCAATAAGATAATTGGGTTAAATATTAAATAGAGATTTTAATCTTGACTGATTCCAGTAAGTGAAGATGGATGTTAAATAGATTTGAAAAGCTAATCAAAGTGATCTTAATGGAGTTGTTCAGATAATGTGAAGTTGTACAGTGCTAACCCAGTATAATCCCCCATTCCCAATGAAACTTGTTCTACGTACTAGAAGATCGATCCAACTCCATGGGGACTCTTGCTATATGCAATCAGTTTAACAGATTAATATGCCACCTCTTGTTTGCAATGTACCTGTAAAATCGCCAG